TTTGTAAATTATAAGAATTCAATTATAAATTTTTACCTTACATGGATCAAATTAAAAAATTGAATCAAATTAAATCATGTGAAGTGTATATATATAAGATCACTTTATTCATAAAATATAAATAAAGCAATGCACCTCAAAAATATGATGAAAAACATGAAGTCCACAGACCACTGTCTAATTTTAATTTGATATAAAAATTGTCTCTTTTTATTAAATGGGTTATCGCGCAATAAAATAGTTATTATTAATTTTGAAGTGAATTAATTACCCTTTTTTGATAATATTATATATTTATTATTTATACAACTACTTCATAAATGCAGCGTATTTTTTTTTTGTTTATTCTAAAGAGTAAGTAATTTTTCAAAATAAAAAAAAGATTTATATAATTTACAGATATGTGACAAGTGATAAAGCCTGATTTACACATAATATTGTTATACAACCTTGACATTCTCTATGGCTTGTTTCTCTTCTACACATGCAAGCTTTTATCCTGTAGCAAAGGGGTTGTGGTAGAAGATGTCATATTCTTGTTCTTGTTCTCCTTCACCATGTTGTCCTCTTGAGCAAGCCCCCACATCACTGAGTAAAATCCAATTCCTACTATACCTGTTCCTATTATGCTGCACCACAAATCAAACTCCAGTGTTAGATATTATGTTTCTGTCCCACGCATACCAAGATATTTCTTTAATATAATATTATCCCCATTCCATTTCATTCCCATAATCCCATTAATTCCATTTTCATAAAAAATATTTACTGTGTGTCAAGTAGGGGCCTTAGAGTTTGTTTTTGTGTGTACCTTCCCAGATAAAGAGTGTCCCTCAGAAAAATGACTCCCATGCCAATTGCAATGACCATCCCTAAAGGGGTAAACATGGCCACATAAATTGGTCCCTTCTTTCGAGTAGCCCATGCGAACACAACACTTCGGATTGATATCATAAACATTGCCTGCAAATGAACCATCATCAATTGCTATATAAACTATATGCCAGTGAGTGTAATTAAGGTTTAATTTGCGCCAAATTAAATTTACAGTTCAGATCGATCGAAATACGTAGTTTAATTTCTTCTGCAGTTTGTACTACTTACTGAATAAAATATGGCTACCAATTCCATATCAGGTCTGAGGATCCAAGCTTTTGAAGTTCCCTCTGCAATGAGAGCTATTATGGTAGAAAGAACAACCACAAAACCACAACAAATAGTTGTGAGCATTAACTCTGCGGGGTAGTCCTTGAGAATCCAGACCTGCATGTGTATTTGAAGATGGAAAATTTCGAGGGACAAAATCGATCATAGTTTCAGAAAGACTATAATTTAACTACCTAGATTGAGCTACATTAATATAATTAGATTCGATACTTCTTCGTGGCCCAAAAAAAAAGATTCGATACTTCTTCCAGTGGTGCGCAGTGTATTTTTCGTAGTAACTATTTAGTACTTGATATTATGAAATAATTTAAATTTAAGTATTATCATGTCCTATAATATGGGTAGTTTACTTGCACTTAGTACAGTTTCTTCCATACATATAGTTTTAAAAATCAGAACCTTGTTTAAGAAATATTAACCCCTTTGACTCAATTGAATTACTATTTATAATTACAGCAGCAAAATATTAGAGAGATTCTTCAAGTATTCTCCTTGTATAAATCATTTTTAACTTTATCATCGGAAGTCATGAGAAATAATTAAATTATTAATGTTGTTTAAAAAGAAAAGACGTTTTTTCAATTCGCTCTTATTAAATACATCGTCTTTAAAAATATTTTCTATTCATATGTAAACTTTTATTCTACTTATAGAAAATTGTAGTAAAATAATTGAAAAAAAAAATGAATGATTCATCTTTTTAATACAAAGTAACTTGTAAAAAAGACCATTAATTTATTGTAAAAAAATAACTTATGCAAGGACCGATAGACTGATATATATATATATATATATATGTTTCATCTAACCGTTAAGAATTTTAGAAGATGGAATCTTCTCAGAGAAGGAATATGTTTGAATTAATACCTGGACAACAATTAAGAGAGAGAGACAAAAGCTGGAAATTGAAAGGAGAAAGCCTCCCAATAGCCAATTTGATTTCTGAGAGAGCAAAACCCAACTCATCAGTGGCTTCTCTTGTAGGGGCTCGGGAGTAATTGGAAGACCCTTATACAGGGTCACAATTAATGCTCCTGTGATTGAGACCACCGTTCCAATAGATTTAGCTTGACTGCTTCGTAACTTCAAATCCAGATTTTCCATCCTGAAATCACATATCATGGAGTTCACACCGATTGTCCAGTCCTGTCTTCTGCGGATGAATATAGGGCACTTCTAGTTTCTATAATCTATCAAAAGTCCCAGGACCTAGATTTTTATGCATGAATAACTTGAAGTATTTTGGTAAACAGAATTTGTCATTAATATCTGATAGTAAAGAGTAAGATAAAGATTTTCTTTGGGAGAGGGACAATAAACACACGCCAAACCCAATGCAACCTTTTCTCATAAGGGAGGAGAACTCACAAAATTCAGCTAAACCAGCAACCTCACTTCTTTTAAAGAGCCGAAGAGGCACTTGATGTGACCGATGCTATTATGGCACTTCTATAGTTTATCTGGCCCGGTTGCCCGATGGCATATGCCCATCCCAATAAGGTAAAAAAAAAAAATTGTGGCCTGAACTAAAGAAAATTTTTTGAATTCTCAAGCCCAATTTTAAAATTTTTGGACTTCTTGGTCAGTTTGATTTACCGGCTCTTAAAAAATTGCCTAGCCTAGCACCATATAGAGAGAGAGAGAGAGAGAGAATTTGGATGTCGTTGGGCCAAAGTTGAATGTTGGGATGGATTATTATTGAACAATGCATTCTACTCAACTCGTTTGGCCTAGCCCAATGTTTATATGATTGGAAAAATAACAATCTAGGACTGTTGGAGAAAATTTATATTAATTAAAGATCATTTGTTATTAAAACTTTAATAAAAAATAAGTCTAAATGGATACTTGTTGATAAAAGACTAATCTAAATCGATAAGTATGCATTTAAATTTTGACAATAAGTGATCATTGATTAATATAAATTTCTTCCAAAGATTCTTGATTGATATTTTCCCTATATAATTATGTGTGTGTTGAGGGTAGAGCTAGCAATTTGGGTAGCCCGAGCTCAATTCGAGTTGAAATTATGTAAATCAAGCTTAAAGTATTTTATCTTATTTAAAAAATTCATATAACTAAGTTTGACTTTAACACTTTTGGGCTTTGGGCTTATTTGGGCAAGCTTAAATATTCAAAACTTTTAAAAAATATTTTTTATTTTTTGAACTAATTTTAATTTTTAATAATGTTACATAATGCTTGGGCATTCCATGAGTAGGGTTGTGTAGTGGGTTACATAATGTAACTCATTCATCCTTTAGGTTGGGTATCAAGAAGGGTCCAACTCTGCCACTAGCACTAGACCATTTAGCTAACATCAAGATTACTCGAGACCATGGTGCAAAAAACCTGGATCAATTAGTTGGATCAATAAACCAATAAATGGGTCACTAGGCTAGTCCAGTTGATGAGCTAAACCGGAGAGGTTGTGAACCAGTAACCCAAGATTAACTCAATCAACTTGACAGGCTAATCTTGGGTTACTTTTATTATTATTATTAGTCTTTTTTTCCTTTCCGCTTATAAATATTGAACTCTAAATCAAATCTAAATCTCTTGATTAATATTTTAAATGATGTTGTATTTTATTATTATTAGAAACTTATAATTAATATTTGTATAAAACATTATAAGATTTTATGAATGAAATTTTCATTTTTTTTGTCAGGAATGAAATTTTCATTTTCTTTAGAATTAAGGTTTTTTTATTTGAATATTACTGACTTTCATAATTAAATATAAATATTTTTGTATATTTAAATTAAAATATATTGCGTTAATTATAACCGATTTGACTTCAAGTTCCGATCTGCTTTTGATATCTTGCTTGAGACACTTCAAGTGAAACCAAGAGAGTGAAGGCAATTGGCCAAATCCGAAAGAAAGAAAGAGACTAAAAGATAAAGAACCTTCAATAAAAGATAAAGAAAGGAAACTTAATAGGTTTGCATTTTTTTAAAATTAATGTGACATGCACAGCACAAAGTCAAAGCAAGAAAGAACCTGAATCTCGTACTTAAAAAAAAAAGGATTAAATGTCACTAAGTTACATAATCCTTTTGCAAAATTTGCATTCTTTAAAACTGCGATATGTTTTGAAATAAAAAAAGAGAATAAATAATATTATGCACAATTTTATTTCTTGTGTTATTTATTATTTTTCTTAGAGATACGTTAACTTCTCGCATTTAAATTGAAGACTTTCCTTCAGTCTCTTCGGTTCATAATCACATGAAACAATAATTCTAGATAACTCTGGATTAGATGTGAGGCTCAAATCAATTGCAATAATATGATGTTACTTGACAATTCACGTCGAAGCCCAATTTCCACAAGGAAAATGTTAAGTGGGGGCCACCAGCGCTCAAAGATCAACTGGCTGTCCATTTTCTTACAGGAGCACATGCATGATGCATCAAGCATTACAAATGGCAAAAGCAGGGTTTCATTGATTCATTCAAGCCACTCAAGTGTCAACCTGTCTTACGGCAGACGATACACGAATTGTCGCAAATGAAATAATAAACTTTTTACAATTGCGTTTAAGAGTGAAACATGCGAAGAGCCATAAGCCCAACTATATTTTAAGCTTCTTTCTCGCAAGACTTAACCCTATCTCTCATAGTTAAAGAGTTGACCCTCAAAACCTCAACTCTATTTTTTTTTAATTTAAAAATTTTAAAAAATATATTTATAATTTTAAAAAAATTATTATATATAAAATTAAATTTAAAAAAGTAAATTTAAGTTAATTCACACCACAATAAGTATAAAAAAATTAAACATTTAAGTATAATATCAAATAGTAATATTAAAATTAATATCAATAAAAATTAAAATTAGTTAACATTATCAGTTATATCTTAATAAATAAATAAAGGAAGGAGAATGAGTTTAGGATGTCCATTTCTTTTAATTAGATACTTAATTTTATATTTTTTATATTAAAATTAAAAAAATAATAAAAAAGTGTTTTTTGTATTATTGGGCTTAAAAAGATTGTCATTTTCGCTCCTAACATATCGGCTCAACCCGAGCTATTTTTAGGTTTAAAAAGAGTCAACCAACAAGTTTGAACCTAATTGACAAGTATTTAACAAGCATCAAACTACTTTATGAACATTTATAAAAATCATCTTGTAACTAGTTAGTTGATTCATTTTCAGTGGAGTTCGTTTACTACTTCAACGGGTATTTACTTTAGTTTTTCTTCATTACATGTATTAGTAGCTTTCTGGCTTTGGATGCTAATTTTCAATTTTAAGACTGATTTTTCAACGCTCCCACAGTGCCACTCCAAGAGGTAAAAGTAATAACAATATAATCCTGAACAAAAAATATTTAAAAATACAAAAAATACCACCTCTGTTTTCATATTATAAATGCTTTCAACTAATTAACATATACTTCGACCAAAAAAAAAAAACTAATTCACACTACTAAAAAATTATTTGTATTCCTTATACTAAAAAAATTTGTATATTTTTATTAATTACAAATTACCTTCTTAATGTCTTATCTGAATCATCAATTATTAAGAGTGTTTTAGGTAAAAATAACATTAAAAAATCTATTTAATTCCCAAAATGCTTTATAGTTTATATTGGGAAACACAGAATTTTTCTTTTGACATATAAATTAAAATATGCGGGACAACTAATTCATGTATATTCTATTTTTCTTCACACAAATGAATACATTCATATTATAAAACACTTTTAACTATTTATTAGATTTAAGAAATGACAATTAACTTATTAAAGCTTAGTTCAGATAGAGGGCAAACTAAGAAAAAAAATAGGGGATAAAGAAAGCTAAGAGTAGACATTTTTTAAAATAGTTTACCCTTATTAAAAATAGTCTTAAAATAAAAAAATCAACTTTATCTTTATTAAAATAAAAAAAAGAGCTATACATTACATGATGACATAAAATTAAATTTATAATGAGATTAAAATTGAATAATGATAATAAATAATTTTAGGCGTGTTTAAGTGCCAAAAAAATTTTAAGGTGCCCTGTAATAAATACGGGATGGAGTATAGATGATTCATTTTGTTAAAGCAAGAGCAGAAGGTGAAGAAGAAAGACCTGGAAACAATGGCGAGGATGAAAGTGAAAGCTGGAAGAAGATCCAGCATAGCCGAGGACAAAGTGGGAGAGCTTAATTGAATACCAGTATACATCAGTGTCTGCACTGCACAGCTACCACAACAACGCAAACAATCAAATTCCCCATTCATATCGCAGTACACCCTCACCTAGCCAGTATGTATCAGATTCAGAACATTTCAGACCCCAAAAACTTTTCAAATACTTATATACCTGAGCAAGCTAACCAGGAAGATTCTGCAGATAATTGACCTTGAGATTGGAGGAGGAGCCACCTTCCTGTTGAAATCGTTAAATCAACAAAAGCAAACAGTCAGTCAAGCAAAAGCTGTGAAAGAAATTAAACTGTGTTGTATCGGATTTGAAACATGTTCAACATTCGTGCAAAATACAACAGAACTTTTTGTTTTAATAATTTGAATAAGAAAAGTCGATTACCACCATGAGTAACTAATACAACCATAGGAAGCCGTTGAAATTCGACAGAAAAAAGAAGACGAGGACTCGAGTACTTAATCGGAAAACACAGCTTAAAATCACACATCATGCTTCTCAGTTAGGTCAAGGAATTGGTCGGAACCTGTGATAAAGGAAGGTAGAAGTAAGAAGAAAACAGAGGGCTAAGGCGTTGGAATACACAACGAACACGAATTTGCTCATGCCATTGGTGGTGGCCGCCTTGACCAGAGTGTTCAAGCCGACTTCCAAGAACTGCGAGGCCACCATCGCCATTGTTATCGCTACACTCGCCATTTCACTGTGCGATGATTGACAGATTCTTGTCTCCTGGGCAGAGAAATTCGTTGGCTAGCGAGTGGTGGTGACCCACACTAGTGTGGCGTTGGCTCCACATGATGAATTTAGTGCCGAGACGAATCTCTGAGACCTCCAGATTTCTGAAGAAAAATCTATCAGCGTCGGACAGAAAATGGGGACGTTGCAATCGATGCATCGTGAATTTTCAATATCGTACAGTGCCACCGCCACGTGGTTCGTTCGAGGGAGAGTTATGCTGGAAGCTTAATAACGAAAATGAATTACTCAAAATTAAAAAATCACACTAAGCTGTCTCAATTAAAAATTTATATTAACCACATTTATAATTAAAAGTATTTTTAAAAAATTTCATTAATTTTTTTCAAAAATTTAAATATCTTATATTTTTTAATATCTTACATAAAAAAATGCATTATATTTTTAATAAAGAAAGTATTATAGATAAGGATTTTATATTTTTACAAGTATTGAGAAAGACCGGGCTCCTTCAAAAATAATATATATATATATATATATATAATGATTGAGATGTCTATAAGATAAATAATTTACTTTATTTAGTTCTCACATATAAAAAAATTATAGTTAAATATAGGAGATTTAACACTAAGAGAAACATTAAATTTTCATAGAAATATATAGAAAATTTTCAAGGTACTAAATTTTTTAAGTATGATTATTAAATTCCCTTTGTCTTCGAATTTCTTATGTATTGGTACCAAATGATATAAATTATTTGTCCAGTGGGCATTTCAGACATCTTTTTTAAAAAAACACAGGAACTGATCATGTAGAATAACTTTAAAAATTTTAAATCCTTATTTATAAATAATTTATTATTTTATTTTACCAACAATAATTTATTTTTTCGACTTTAGGCGTAATTCTTCCTAGCTAGTTGGAGATTTTATTTTCTTCTTCCGTTAATTTGTTTTGGCGTGCACTTTCAATTCAAGATGTAAAAGAATCTGCTGCACATACAAATCAAATTGCATGAAAGAGGAGAAATGAATGATATATTTAACGAAATTTATGCATTAACGATTTTTTAAAAAAAATAAATAATTTAAAATTTGAATTTTACCTTGAGAAAGTCTTTGGGAGAATTATATTGAAGGACGAAGAAATAAGAATATTTAACTTCAAATCCCTTAAAAATTGAAATTATAATGAAGGAGCAAAATATGGAATAACGAAGGATTGAATAAAGCACCGATCAACAGAAGAAGAAAATTATTTTATTTTTCCAAACAAAGTAAAAAAACTTATAGACTATACAACCAATTGAAATGTAAACGAAACTAAGATCATAATAAAATTAGATTTAAATAAAGCCTAAACAGAAAGGAAAAGCTCTGACCCAAAAGAAAAGAGACAGCAACAAAGAAATTAAAAAATATTAAAATAAAAATTAAAGTGGGAGACTTGGTGTGTGGCTTTCAAAAGTAAGAATCAATAGCAAAAAGCGAAAGAATATTATGTCGACGACTTGCGCCAAATTGTGCATGTTCGGTCACTATTTTTTAATCTATATTTGCACGTGTTTTCATAATAATATAACCCTAATCATATCACAAATAATAAGTAAGAATTATTTTCTTTTCTTGCAGTAATGTACAATTGTTATTTTATATTAGAGTCGGTAATTCAAATGAGTCGAACTTATTTAAGTTAGGTTCAATTCGAATAGGACTTAAGTATTATATTTTTTTAAAAAAATTCATGTAACCAAACTCGACCTTAACTTTTTTTGACCGAATTTAAATGACCAATTGGGCTTGACTAAAATTACAAAGTTTATAAACATATAGAGCTAAAAATTATAACAGTTGAGTTTATTTGGATCGGGGTTTGAGCTGGCCTATTGAGCTTGGGTCAAATTACCAACTCTTGATTTTCAACATATCTATCCTATGATTAGTGACGGACCCATAAAAACAAATCAATGGAGGCATAATTTATACTTAAAATAAATATTTATATTTTTATGAAAAATAATTATATATAATTATATTTTTTATATAAGTTAATAAAATTAAATATTTAAAACAACACATAAAGATAGAATTAGAATAACATAAAAAACTCTCTTTATATATAGCATCATGTTTTTTAATTTCATTAAATAAAATTTATATTCCATTACTTAAAAATGTAAGATTTTTTTAACTAAATCTCTTCTTAATAAACTAATTATTTGTCTTCAAATTAACACAATCTTTTCATATTTACCCCTATTTAATAAAGTATTTTACTTTAAAATAAATATAAAGTAATCTATTTATTAGGAGCACTTTTTAAAAACACATTAATTACACATTAAAATACTAAAAATACTTTATATTTTTTAATTTCCAACACCTATATGCATTTTTTAGTTGAGGGAGTATACCTCTTTTATATGGTAGAGAATTTTGTACACAAAAACCTCTTCATTTCTTATCATCATTTTTCCTCCAAAGAAATTACATGTTTGAGAATTGTTTGCACAAAATTTTTTCATAAACAATTTTTTCTAACCATTACTTTTCCATCATAAAACTATTGCTATTCAAGGTTATATATATATATATATATTATAGTTTTAGATAATAAATTTCTTAATGGGATAAGTAAAATTTTATAAAAAAATAAATAAAATTCTTTTAAAATGAGGGGGGCAATTAAAATTTTCTTGAGGGAACAATAAAAATATAACCTAAGTCATTTTAAGTGAATTTTTCTTGGGTTGTGAGGGCAATTACCCTCACTATAGCAAACGTGGATCTGTCCCTGCCTATGATTCAACATATCCGTGCATTGAACGGGTTAAAAACTAGTAAAAGAAATTTTAAAAAAATGATGATGAAGGTACTGTAGCCATGGGAGATATGATTCTAATAATTGGTGATTGTAATAATTAAGAATTTAATAATTCAATTACTTGGTGATTCCATGTTTTATATTTTTGGTTGAAGAGAATGGTGCTTCTCGCACCAAAAAGTTGGGCAAATGCTTCTTACAAAAAAAAAACAAAAACAAAACAAAAATCAAGCTTTGATTTGGTCTTGTGTTATATGTTCTCAAGGGAGATTTAAAAGGACAAAGTAAAATCAAGTGCTTTATATCCATTTGGTCCATTGGTCCAATCAAATTTTGACACTGGAAAAAATTAAAAGCACAAGCAAAATTTCATTAGAGAATGGACCCAATGAAGATAAAGTACTTGACTTTTAGTTTTCTCCTTTTAAAATACACTATTTTGTATGGTCAAAAATGAAGACAGAGCATTTTCCATAGCCTGCTCATTCTTGAAGAAAGTGAGAGTCACCTCTCAGGGACCACGCGTGCGCTCGCCGGCTCGCTCTCTCTCTCTCTCTTTCTCTTCTCTAGAGAGAGCCAGGCATGCGTGTACTAACAAATGAGTTAGAGAAAAACAGCAATTGAAGATTATTGATCAAAATTTATATCAATTAAAAATTAATTATTATTAAAATTTAAATAAATATTTATTAATTTAAGATAGTCTTTTATTAATAAATATTTATTTAAATTTTAATAATAATTTATTATAAATTAACAACAGTCTATTTAGGTTTGTTTATTAATAAATATCTATTTAAATTTTGATAATAATTAAATCTTGACTGATATAAATTTTAGCCAATGATTATTGATTGCTATTTTCCCAATGAGTTATACTATTTAATTTATGAAAGTTTTTATATGATGTTTAGGTAATGTAACAACATGATTTAATATGAATATTTCTATCCATTTTTATAGCCAATCCTAAGCCTGAATAAAAAAAGAAGGACTGTGTTAAACCTTTAATAATCAACGTAAAACTTTGTCAAACCTCATATAGATATGGAAATAAACATTTTTGTGCTAATGCACTATATGGCTCAAATGCAATGACAAGTAAGTTAGAGTTGTTGTATCCACATCCGAACGTACTGTTAAATGAGTAATAGTTCTTATGTTATTCTAGACAAGCATGACTAAAGAAGTTAATTCATATGAGCAAAATCATATTGGGTACTAGGAATGTTGGGACCTTGTTTTGCAAATATATTATCTATGAAGGTTGTGGGAGTTATAATTCATAAAAAAATACACATTTCATGCCTTTAGGAAACTAAATGGATTAGTGAGAAAGCTAAGGAAATTACAAGTTTCAAATTTGGGTACACAAGAAAAGTAAGCTCATGAAATGAAGGTGGATATCATTATTGATAAGGAGTGAAAGAAAAATATGATAGACATTAAAAGAATTAAAGACATAATTATTATTTTTAAGAATGATCATTGAACATGGTACTGTTAATATTATTAGTTGTCATATACTTTAAGTAGGGCAAAAGCCCATGTTAAAAATCTTTTTTGAAAAGATTTGAAGGGGTGGATTTAAATCATATCACAAAGTAAGAATATCTTTATTATTGGAGGATACTTTGATAATGGTCACGTAAATAAGGAGACAAGTAATTATGTGGGGCTCATGTGTGAATTGTTTATACCATATAAATATTGTATAAAAAAATTTACATATTTTAATTAAATTGAAAACAATCATATCAGATACATGAGATTCAGTACATGCGTTTTGTCCATTTAAACATTACCCTTCAAGCTCATTAAAATATTTTCTCACATTAATCTCCCTTTATGCAATGGAAGAAAAAAAGTCAGAGAGCAACAAAAGGTATCATGAGAAGAAAATAATAAAGGGATAATTTCATCAAAGAACTACAAGTGTGATATATTTACAAATCATGTCCAACACAATAGGAAATTCCACTACACAATCTTGTGTAAATGAAATAGAATTCTTAAACAAAATGACTAAAATACCATTTTTTTTCAATACATTGCAATTGCAACTAACCATGGTGAATTAATCTTTGAAAAGATTTGTTAATTCTTTAACTTTACTTTATCCATTCTCTTATATTGTAAGAATGGAGAAGTGAAATTAAGGAATTAAAAAGTGTTTTTAAGACTTAATAATTAGGTTAGCTACAATATACTAAATGTAATAAGTAGTACAATGAAATTAACAAGTAAAGCAAAGCTTTTAATAAGTAACTAGTTGATTTTTGAATTTATAATAACAGTTTAACATGCAACGTAACAAATTTA